CAACAAAAACAAAACTGTAGAAAGACACTTTTTAGAGACAGTAGTTTTTCTGTACGTACTTTCAAGTACAAACTGGAAGATCTCACCAGCTTTGGGAGTCTAATCTCATATTACTCTCTGAGGGCGAGAATTCAAGTAGATTAATTTTCAGAAGCTGTTTTTCAACCTTCCTATATCTTTTTCCCATTATTGCACATGTTATTCTTTACTTAAATACATGCATAAGAAGCAAGCCATAATTACAACTGATTGATAGAAAAGTTAGATATAAAAAAAAAAAATAATTAAATATTAGAGATAACTGTGGAGATCCAGTGGCTAAATACAGAATCAGGGACATCAATTTAGTAAATACTAAGACACCCACGTGTAATTAGTCACCCAAAGAACGTTAAGATTTTGAATTATCAAGTACATAAACTACAATTCAAGATAATTTGTTTAAACATTTTTGAATGTATATTTCTGTTATCACTATATAACAGAATAACTTGCCTCATATCAAAATTACTATTAAACTTTTTAAATTATGTCCTTTTGTCAGAACAACTCCTCAGTTCTTTTACCTGGTGCATTAGACAGGGAAAGAATGCAGATCAATGTAAAGGTCTGTAGCTGAGTTTGAACTGTAGGCAGCCTGTTGTCCCAGTGAATTGAACTCACCTTCAGAAGCTGAGCTAGAGCAAGTCAAGCCTTGTGCTAGCAGAACATCTGCAGAAAACAGAGTTGAATCAGCAGACGTAAATGGAGTCTCACCAGGTTCCTGAACTTTGCAAGCAAACAAAAAATGAAGGGTATGGCTGTATGTTATGCAAAGTGCTTTGCCTAAGTGAGGATAGTTTTCTTAGCTATTTTTTTTCCATATCAACATTGGCCAGAATATTTAAAGCTGATGAAACAATGTTGTACTTTATTTTGTCCTGCTGTGTGTTCTACCTGATGTTTTTGAAGACAAAGAAAAATAAATACACTAATAGGGCAGTGTGAAAAGTACTAAAAAATGCAAAATTGAATGCAAGTGTACCACAGTCACGTAAAATTATTTTCTCTGTAGGAGAATCTCTGTACAGATCCACACAGAGAACACAACCACACATGATGAAAATTATTTAGTGACAAATTTTTGCAGTGTGATCAAAAATCCTTGAATCAGCTTTTTGCTTTGTTTGGTCCCACCTCCTGAGTAGGACAAAAAAATAAAATAACTTGTATCATTTCTCTTGTTAATACTGAGGATCTTTAGGATGAACAGCCTTGCATGTGGGATAGACTAAACAGCAACCAAGGTTACTGCCCTTCTACAGCAACTGAGACTGGGAGCAACTCTGTGAAGAAGGTCCTATGGCTTTGGTGGGCAGTGAGCTGGGCATGGCCCCAGCTGCAACAAAGGCACACCATGTCCTCCTGGGCTGTATGAACAAAAGCATGGCAAATCAGTTGAGGCAGGTGATAAACCCCCTGTGCTCATCACTCAAGAGACAACAGCTATGTAATTTGTATGGCTGTGGCACCCAGTAAAGGAAACACATCAATAAATGAGAGCAAGTTCAGATGAGGGTACCAAGGTGTCCAGAGCTGCAGCACTGCCCTGTCCTGTGTGCTGGATAATGGGAGGGGAAGACATAACGGGTATAAGTTAAAACACAACTAGTTCAGACTACATATAAGAGGGAAAAATGACACAGGATAATTTGACAACAAAGCAGGTTGCCAGAGACGCTCTGTGAAATATTGGAGGTTTTCAAACCCTGACAGGACAGAACAACCTTAGAAACTCTTTGGATGCTTAATACTTCATGCATTAAGTGCCACTTTTCAAATGGGCAACTATACCTGCAAGTTTTCTTGGAGATTTCAGAGTATGCTTGAAGGGTGATGTTTCGTATAGCAATATTACAGTCAGCTAGCTTTTAAAATTTTTGTCTTTGTAATCAATATTTCATTGATTTTTCACAGTAAAAATTTTCATACTGTCATCATCCCACGTCTTTTATGGTACATATTACCTGCCTGTGCAATACTTAAGCTGCTTCTGAGGTGAAACAGCCACCTTTTTCTCTCTTGATTTTTTGCTCACAAAAATTATTAAACTATAATTCTTATGGTAGCTCATTCTGTGCAGTCACCCACAACTCTAAGCTCTATGCCTATTCTGAATTTGCATGTTTGCATTTCTTAAGTACAGGTTTAATCTCAGTGGAACATTGTGCTGGGAGCTTCTTCTGTTCTCATTTCTTGCTAGCTACTTTTGTTTTGTTTGTTTTCTCAACATTATGAGCCATTTTGCCCATTTTCTTTCTTCCTTGGAGAGTTTTTCCTTCTGTATAAACACATAGACTAGTATTTCCTCAGACTACTCTTTATTTCCATTCCTTGAATTTTGCTGTCGGAGAGGAACAATTTTGCTTCAGTGCTGCAGGCTGAACATTTTTATGTATCAGTCTTTTCTATATTTAAACAGGTCTCTGAAAGTAACAGTGACAGAAATGTAGGAGAGAAAGAAGGGACGAAGCTGCCTTCTGCCTGAAGCCAGGCAAGGTAGGCAGAGCTGTGACAGCTCTCTACTTTGTTTCAGGATCAGCATCCCCACTTGCACTGGTTATTCTGCCCACAGTGTAACAGATGTGCAATTCCTTCATCCAACATGTTATGTAAAGGCAGATGTTTTCAGCTTAGTCAGACATAAGAATTAGGACAGAATAGGATGCCCTTTACAAGAAGGATAACAAAATTAGGATATGCTTGAACAGTAAAATGAAGACATGAGTGCAGCATGAGTAACCATAGCTTTAGTCTGACTGGCACCAGCAGCAGCAGCATCAAAAATGCAGAAGCACAAAATTTAATATGGGCTGGAATTGGGATAAAGCCATATGAGCTCCACTCACATCCATACCTCTACAACATCACTCCTGTTTTTTCCCATGCTATAAGTAAAGGGTAACTTAAAATCTTGCCCCACAATGCAATCATTCTTTCTACTCCAGTAAAGAAATAGCTTGAACGCCTTCCCGGTTCAATAAGATATCCTTTTGGGTTGTTCCAGATTAGCAGCTCCCCAGGCAACATTGCAACAGCCAAATTCAATCGCTTGCTACCATTAGGAATTTTCGATAAGGTTCCCTATTAAATCACCCCATTTTCCAAAGAACAAACACAGATGGAGCAGATTTTGCACTTTGTTCCACATGTATTTTTTATATATCTAGCTTTGGACTCAAGATCCTAGACTTTGTTCAAATTTTAGCATTCAATTTTTATATGTTTATTTGCTTAAATCTCACTAAATATAAAAAGATACTTGTACATGCTGTGTAGCTAATGAACTGCCTCTGATGAGAGGACAAATTCATCTTCACATTTATTTCAATGAATCCTAAAACTACTGCAGCTTGCAATCCTGTGCAAGAGTTTATTATTTATATTATATTATTTAATGACTAGGACAATAATGTGGTCCTACTGTTTACAGATAGGTTTTGTCAAATAGAATTGACTTCAAGAATCACAAGAGTTTTGTAACCTATGACATAAACTTTTGCCAGTCTTGACAATATAAGCTACTTAAAAATGTTGTGAAGACACTTGCACAACCTTTCTGCTAATCCTAGTATGTCTTCAGTTTCCATTTACCAAAATGTAATCTTTGACTCGAAATGCAATTGGAAAAACACACTGAAGAGGGGCATATGGTCCCAAAGAGTTAGAAACAAAGCATACTTGGTGCTATTACTGAATAAGCTACAAATATGTCTTAGATGTTACTCAGGAGAGTAGCCCAGTTGTAGTGGAGATAAATTGCCTAACTACTGAAGAGGTAGCATGTTTAGCGTAATTGATTGTTTCATCGGTTTGAGTGGGAACTAGTTCTATGCAGTGATTTTACTTTTCATCTTAGTCTTTTCAAACTAACTGCATTTTCTGAATGGTGCATTTTTGTAGTGTCGGTTCCTATCCGCAGTGATAATGCACCATGTTAACAGTTACTATCAAGGTATGCAGAAAGGCTTTTGCTTATACTTGGTCCTACAGAGACCAAGGTAGCTGCTAAATCTTGTGTACCATGCTGACAGTGCAGTAAGCAAAAGGACACATCTGCGGGAAGAAGCGAACAGGGCAGGTGACTCTAAACTGATCAAGAAGGTATTCCATCCCATATATCTCATATTCAGTATAAAGCTGAGGGATCACAAGAGTCTAGCTCCCTTGTAAATGGCTGAGAAAGATTCCTTTCTGCCTTCAATCCTGATCCATGTATCCCTGAATTCAGTTCCAGCATCCAGCTCCTAATTCTGGCTCCTGGCTGCCACTGAGTCCAGTCTGGGACTTCCCTACTGCTTACCCACAACATCAGTACTGGCAGTGATATAACTGCCATCAGGGAAGTTGGGTGTGATATTGGCTTCGTAGATAGTTGTATATAATTCATTTTTTTATTATTAATTTCATTGAAGATGTTCTAGTTTTTTAATCCATAAGTCTCCCTTATTCTCTTTCCACTCCTCTTTGGAAAGGGAGAAGGGTTCAATAGAGAGCTATCTGTCTTTTGCCTATTCACTAGCCCATCCCCAAACCTTGACAACTGTCATAAACACTGTTGTGTTTCAACAATGATTTGAGGACACTTGTTGTAGAGACAGAAAGGTAATTCAGTTTCTGTACATTATTTGGACCTTGGCCTTGCTGAAATACCATTTCCCAGATGCAGCTTTTTATTTCTGGGGATATTAGCCCAGGAGAAAAGGTTACTGAAACTCACTATGTTAATTTCAAATAAGTAATGACATAACAGTCTTTCGTTAGTAGTCCAGGCTAGATTGCAAACCCTAAATTTACTACCAAAATAAATCTGTAATAAATTGTAAGTGTTACATTGTTACAGCTAATATGCCATTGCTTACATCACATTCATTTCTCTTCTTGGAAAAGATATCACAAACTCTGCTGTCCACATATATCTATATTAATGTCTATATTGTTGTTTTTTTGTCATTTTATTTCCCAGATCTTTTTCCTTTAGCTGAGCAACAGCCACACCAAAAAACATGCCTGAGCAAAGCAATGATTACAGGGTTGTTGTGTTTGGAGCTGGAGGAGTGGGCAAAAGTTCTTTGGTCTTGAGATTTGTGAAGGGCACTTTCAGAGAGAGCTACATCCCTACCATTGAAGACACCTATCGGCAGGTGATCAGCTGTGATAAAAGCATATGTACTTTGCAGATAACTGATACTACAGGAAGCCATCAATTTCCCGCCATGCAGCGTCTTTCTATTTCTAAAGGACATGCTTTCATTTTGGTTTACTCGATCACCAGTCATCAGTCCTTGGAAGAATTAAAACCAATCTATGAACAAATATGTCAGATTAAAGGAGATGTAGAAAGCATTCCAATAATGCTGGTGGGGAACAAAAATGATGAGAATCAAAATCGAGAAGTGGACAGCAGTGAAGGAGAAGCCATGGCTAAGAAGTGGAAATGTGCTTTCATGGAGACCTCTGCCAAGCTGAACCACAATGTGAAAGAGTTGTTGCTGAACCTAGAGAAACGCAGGACTGTGAGTTTACAAATCGACGGTAAAAAAAGCAAGCAGCAGAAAAGGAAAGAGAAACTGAAAGGAAAATGTGTGGTGATGTGAAATTGTTGTCAGAAGTCAGCTATGCAGTGTCACCTGCTTGAAAATACCCATGTAAAACCTATAGACAGCAAACGGCCATGCAAGACCATATTTATTAGTACCTATTTTAAAAGAAATATTTGGAATTTGAAAAAATTAGTTACTGTGGTTACTATGAAAAAAGCCAACAATTAAGAAAATTATGTACTGTAGCTATGAGAAAGAAAAAAAAAAATCAGGAAGTAAAACCAAGGTGGGTCAGGATGTCCAATTTTGTAATTTACAGAAGAAAATAAATTTCATCTTTAGCATAATTGGAAAGATTTGAAAATTCAACTTCATATGCTTTATGTTTACATATAACTACAAAAGAAGGAAATGTGTAATGTTAGAATAAGAACAAAGAAAGTGCTGTGATGAAACCTAGAACACATAGATGGATGCTGAGTGGTTTTATTATGTCCTTTAAGAACTCTGTGGACAAACAATTCTGGGCAATTTTCACTGCTGACTGGTGGGGTAGAGTGCACAAGGTAGTCTTTGAGCTGCCAAATAAAGAAACTATTGCACACTAAAAGGAAGTGTAGGGGGTAGCACAGTTTAAAGGAATTACCTCCTACCCCCCAGCACCAGATTTCTTTCTAGTACAATGCAGTATTTGGACTGAAGTATTGGGAAAAGACAGTCTCTGAAGGATGGAGATCATCTCTTTTGCCAGACCTATCACTTCAAGAATGACCTGTGCTTCTGGCTCCAATATATTTCAGAAGAGAAGATATTTGCCTGTGGAGAATGCCAGACTGTATAAAAATGGTGTACATATATGAAGAGAAAGCTTCATCAAGGAGAACAGACTGGGGAACTTTCCTACAAATGACTGTATGGGAAAGGCTCGGTTCAAATGCTGCTTATGGCTAAATGAACACATGGTGTGATTAATGAATGAACAGAAAGTTTATTAAACTGGTGGTACCCTTAGTGAGGAGTCAGTGTAGTATACAAAGTTTTTATTGAAATCACCACAATAGCTGAATGAAACTTCTTTACATAACTGTGTTCCAATTAGAATGGTTTTGCTATCATGCACTATTAGATCTATTGCCTTTATATTGTCTGAAGGGTTTTATATTTACCATTTAAACTCATTATTTGAACTGCTCTGAATATTTATACAATCAAATCCTATACCTGAAGTTAGGGCCCACAAGAGTCTCTAATGGAAAATTTATGGGGATAAGTACTCCAGGATTTGGTGTATTAAAAGTTACTGTCAGTATTGTGCTACAATGCAATACAAAGTTCAGAATAGAAAAAAAGCTGGTTTAAACTACTTGGTCAGAGGAAACTGCTCTTCTCAAAACCTTTGGAATAGAAAAAGTGTACAAAATGTGAACTTTTCTAGATCTCTTTTGAAACCTATTTTGAAAACCAAGAGGAATGAATAAAGTATGTATCCTACTGATAACAAAGACCATAAGATAAATGAAGCACATACATTTTTTTAAAAGACACATCAAAATTGTATAAGCTATAATTTGCACCTTAGGAACTACTTTGAAATAATAAAATCAAGCCACCATATTTTTGGTAAATGTTTATGTCAAAGTGTTACTATGGGAAAATGCAGTGAAGTACTAGTATTATTAATATGCATGTTGATGCATTGTAAATAACTAGGAGCTGTTCAAACACTGGTTTTGCATTAAAAATTGTTACATTGTTCCTGTCAGAGTTATTGCTTGCTTACCTTCCATGTATTAAACAAAAGTGCAGACATTTTGCAGGTGGTGTGTTAGTATACGTTTCTCGGAGCAATTGCTATTAGCAGTGTCTAGAAAGAAGCACGACTTTTGTCATTCACGCAGAAGAAATTCTGGCACCATTGAGATGACACATAAAACTCCTACTGATTTCAAAGAAGACAGAAACTTGTGCATTCATTTAATTACATTAGACCACATTGGCGAGAACATGGAAACAAAGGAAAAAAAAAAAAAAATAAAAACTGCTATGTCTGTTTCTTAACAATAAATTCCTGGCTCTTAGATGATGCTTTTTCTCTATAAATCTCAATGCACTTTACAAACAGGACAGCATCATTATCTTCTGAGGCAGTGAATCTGAGGCACAAAGGGGAAGCAACCCAGCAGGCTAGTGGCAGACACAGGAGCAAAAGGAGATCTCTTTAGTTCAGTGCTCACTCTGTGTTAGACTGTATCTTCACATTTATATATAGTTTCTGAAACATATAAAGAAAGCTGGTATGGCTTATGCAGCTAAGTGCATCTTTTTCTTATCAGTCTGTCAGTAGATCAAAAAGTATTTCTCAATCAGGGATGCAAAACATTTGAAAGCTTTACATTTAGTAAGACTTTTATAAATGTTTATACATCTTCTCTATTTGCAAGCAAATGGCTAAAAATAGTTTTCTTCACAGCATGAGATTCCACTAACGAAACAGAAAAATCAGAAGAATTATCACTCTCAAGGAGTAATGCATCACATACAGACGTCAGGAATATATGCTGATGCTAATATGCCAGGTCATCATGCATGGCATATGCCTAACAGCTAGCATGAAATAGTGATAGAAAATCAGAGAAAAAAAGGCCATACAAACACCAAGATCCTTTCACATAATTAATTTAACTGGAGCAATTATTTACATAGTAAAGAATCTTGCAGAAGTAGAATATAGGGGACTTGTATTACTCAAATGGTTATGAGTGCAAGGATATTGCAGGCTGAAATTTGCCCCTGGATTTTCTTTTTAATGTGACTCATAGCAAGAAAAGAGTGGTTATATGGCAAAGGTGGAAATAAAACAAGTAGGGGCCAGTTCTTACGCTTGAGGACCACTTCCTTTAATTCCCAGTTGATTCTGCACCTGGTGCATAATAAGCTATTAATTATTTCAAGGACTTGCATGTATCAAAGCAAGGCCAGTAGAGAAGCAATATTACTCATGGAACACAAATTCAAAAGAGAAGTATTTTGTACCTGTGCATTGTTATATCAATAGATTTTACATATCTTACATATTTGTGAGCTGATTTAAAACATTCGTTTTGCTATTACTTACATATATTTTCCTCAGAATACAAGGGAAAAAATTGTAAGGTAATTTCAAAAAAGGTACAACTTCGTTAAATTTTGTGTTTTATTTGGAACGTCATGTCAGTATAAAAAAAACTCTTTAAAATGTACACAAAAATTATGACATATTTAAAACATGTAAGATCCACCATTAATTTTAGCACTCAGAAAACATTATTTTGTCATCAGACAATATGACTCTTCACAATGCATGACTTTTATATGTATATACAAAATATTAAAATATGTATTTATCATGAAAATATGTTACTGTGATTTCATTAGCAAATTATTTATTCAAAAACTTTGGATAGTAAAACATTTCTGCCTAAAAGTTTTTATGTTTGTGGTGAAGTCTTGAACATACAAAATAAAGTTTTTAATTTAAATACAAGTTTGGAAGAAGCCTTGTTCATGCCTGCATTGTGTTTGTAAGTGTATTTGGTATGTATTTTTTTTAAATTCTGAAGGCAATTCCTAGATTTCCTCGCTTCATATACATGAAGCAGTATCCTAAAGTTTTCAGCTATACACATCACTCTTCTGAAAAGTCTTGAGAGAACTGGAGTGGTATTATCTTATGTAATATTTACCTTTCTTTTATTATGCTGTGGCAAACACCTACACTTTCAAAACAATTTACCTTCAAAAACTACAGATTATCAGTGAGTGCTTCTTTCAGAAAAGTAGTTCTGGAAGTTATCCTATATTTTATTATATATTTTAAACTAATGACAGATAAATCTTGGTGCTCGTGCAGAATTGAACCTTATCATATGGACCCTGTGTATCTCCTGATTTCTACCAAATTTTTAATGGTTTTTTTTTTGCAAATTTTCCTAGTGCTGTATATCATATTGCCACCTGTTGCAAGAAATGCCCAATATAATATTTTAACACTTCTTGCATTTCAGATGTAGTAACATTCCCGTTAAATAATA